AGTAAAGACCTTTCGTCGTGCAGTCATGTTTTCCTGAGGACCGATGTCATAAAGAAAGGCCTGCAGCCACCATACGAGGGTCCATTTCAAGTGCTGAGTCGAGGGGAGAAGGTTTTTAGGATTCTTATTCATGGCCGGGAAAGTACGGTAAACGTGGATCGTCTAAAACCTGCATATGTATCCCGAGATGAACAGGACATGTTTCCTAAAAGCGAATCAACAGCTATGAGTGAATCTACAGAGGAATCTACTATCCCAGAGCCTAGTGACATGCCAAGAGAGGTTAAGACACGACCAGGCCGTCGAGTTAAGTTTCAGGGAAAGTATCAGCAATGAGCTGGAAAAGTCTCGCTAGCGCTGGTAGGGGGCTACTGTAGAGGCTGTTGGTTGCGTCAGCTCAGATTGCATGAAAAACTGAGGTAGAAGGATCGAGGATTGGAACGAAGACCGAAGGTAGGAGGACGAACCGAAATAGTTCCTGCGCGAATGAATACCGGCGGAGGAGCATCAACCGGCGGCCAAGGCAGGGAGTGAAAAGGCCGATGTCCAGTATTTAAGCAGATGACAGTTTGCCTTCGAAAGAGGTTGTTGTGCAGCGTCCGAGACTTCGTCCCGATATCCCGTTTCTACCCGGTGACGCCCACCTGCAGTATGAGATATTTACAATCAAAAGTTTAAGTTTTTAATTGTTCTTTTAATAACAACTTTTAATGTTTTTAAAGAATAACTTGTTAATTGGAGTTTGTGAAGTTTCGTAGATGGTTTGTTATCTTTTACTATTAAAGAGGATGTTTCATTGATATTGTTTCATTTGAAATTCTTACATTCCCATCACCGAAGCATATACGATTGGTGACCTGTAAACGAATACGTATATTTCTGTTTCTGCAAACTGCTTTTGAGAATTTCTACTAGTTGATGGATTACGGAGAAATGCTGGTACGTTTCAAGTTTTAAAGTTTTTGGGCAAGCCGTGAGTACAAATTACTTCTATTCTTGGACTCATACATTTCGGACTAATGCAAAAAATGCCCGAATCTACGGAAACTGCTGATCAACAAATTGCTCGTGTCACTGTAAAGCCACCACCTTTTTGGAGAGCTAATCCAGAATTGTGGTTCAGACAAATTGAAAGTCAGTTCACTCTTGCTGGAGTAACTACAGAATCAACGAAATTTCAAAACGTAGTTTCTGCTCTACAACCGGAGGAACTGGCGATTATCAGCGACATTGTTATCAGTCCACCTGTGGATGAGCCTTTCACCGCACTTAAAAAAAGATTGTGCGCTCAATATGCTGAATCTGAAGCTCAACACTTAAGGGATTTGATTTCGGGGATGCAGCTTGGTGACCGTCGTCCTTCAAGACTGCTTCTGGAAATGCGGAATAAAGCCGGAGCGAGAATCAACGATGAACTTCTTAAATCTTTATTTTTGCAGAGATTGCCTACTAATGTTCAACAGATTTTATCGATTACCAACGATAGCCTGGACAAGCTGGCGGAGATGGCGGATGGTATCATGGATACAACAACTAACGCACAGTCAGTCAGCGTAGTTGCTGGTTCGACGGATCGGACGGATTTACGGTCTTTATTGACAGAGATCACAGCTCGCCTCGCACGGTTGGAAGCCCGTACAAGTGACCGGTCGAGAAGTACTAGTCAGAAACGCTCTACAAGCCGAAGCCGACAGTCTGCAAATTCACAGTATTGCTGGTATCATAAAATATTCAAACAACGAGCGACAAAATGCCGACGTCCATGCTCGTTCCTGCCGGAAAACTGCTGAGGCCGTCATCCAGTCAAAAGGGTGACGGCGAAGCGATGATTCAGCGACTTTATCTGACGGACAAGTCTACATCCTCACGTTATCTCATCGATACGGGAGCTGACGTCTCTGTGATACCTCGTGCTGCCTATGCATCCAGTGACCATTCTTCACAGATGAAGTTGTTCGCCGCAATCGGTACGACCATTCCAACGTTTGGTCAACGCCTGTTGAAATTAGACCTCGGACTCAGAAGAGAGTTCAGCTGGCCTTTTATCATCGCTGCCGTGCCTCATCCAATTATCGGAGCTGACTTCTTACTTAATTTTGATTTATTAGTAGACGTCAAAAATGCTGCAGTAATTGATCCTTTAACCAAGTTGCAAACAAGAGGTACCCGGTATGCTGGGAATGCTTCAACGGTAAAGGTAATTTTAGAGAACTCTAAATTCCACAATTTGTTCTCAGAATTTCCTGCTCTGATTAGGTCAGGTGTCACACCAAGAAAAGTTAAGCATGGAGTAGAGCATTGGATACAGACGAAAGGACCTCCTGTTTTTTCGAAACCTCGACGTTTATCGCCTTATAAGTTGAAAACTGCAAAACAAGAGTTTGAATTTCTGGTAGCATCAGGGGTTTGTCAGCCTTCCAAAAGCTGTTGGGCAAGTCCGTTACACATGGTGTTAAAGAAGAATGGCGACTGGCGACCATGTGGTGATTTTCGTCGTCTTAATGGTGTGACCGTGCCAGATAGGTACCCTGTTCCCCACATGCAAGACTGTTTTCAGGTTTTGGAAGGTAAAAGGATATTTTCTACCTTGGACCTGGAAAAAGCATATTATCAGATTCCGGTGCGCAGCGAAGACGTGCCAAAGACTGCGGTAACAACCCCGTTTGGATTGTTCGAGTTTTTGTATATGCCGTTTAGATTATCAAATGCTGCCGCAACTTTCCAACGCTTCATTCATCAAGTCTTAGGTGAGTTTGAATTTTGTGTACCTTATTTTGATGACGTATTAGTAGCTTCGAAGAACGAAGAAGAACATTTAATGCATTTAAAAAGAGTTTTTCAACGTTTTGCTCAATATCGTGTAACACTCAACGTAAGCAAATGTGTCTTGGGACAGGTTTCAGTAGAATTCCTAGGGCATTGTGTAACGCAAAAGGGTATTACTCCGCTTCCTGATAAAGTTTCTGCAATTGCTGATTTTCCTCAACCAGTTACAATTAGAGAGCTGCGTCGATTTCTTGCAGTCTTGAATTTTTATAGAAGATTCATACCGAGAGCTGCCCACACTCAAGCAATTTTAAACGAATATTTAAAAGGTGTTAAGAAAAATGATAAAAGCATGATCAAGTGGTCGGAAGAAGCAGTTGCTGCGTTTGAGAAGAGCAAGAAAGACTTGACGAATTCAACCAAGCTGTACCATCCTGTCATGAATGCACAGTTGGCGATGGTGGTAGACGCTTCAGATACTGCGATGGGGGCTGCTTTGCATCAGCGGATCGAGAAAGAGTGGCAACCACTTGGTTTTTATTCAAAGAAGCTTGCACCATCTCAAAAAAAGTATAGTGCTTACGACAGAGAGCTCTTGGCTGCGTACATGGCAGTCAAATACTTTCGTCATATGGTAGAGGGTCGGCCGTTCACTATCTACACTGACCACAAGCCGCTTATATATGCCTTTAAACAAAAGGAAGATAAGTGTTCGCCAAGACAATCGCGTCATTTGGATTTTATCGGCCAATTCACTACGGATGTTCAGCACGTAAAGGAAATAGATAACGTGGTGGCAGATGCGCTGTCCAGAGTAAACATTGCTACCATAGAAACACCTTCCCACGTCAATTTTCAAGAAATGGCTAACAACCAAAAAGGCGACCAGGAACTAGCCGAAATTTTGGCTCAAACCGGTAACTCATCTTTGGTTCTTCAACCATTCGTAATAGGTGATCCTGGTGTGGAGCTGTTTTGTGATGTATCTACCAAACGGATTCGACCATTCGTACAGAAAGTGGACAGAAAAAAAGTTTTTTCCAAACTGCATTCTATTTCACATCCAGGTATTAAAGCTACTATAAGGTTGGTGGAAGAGCGATATGTATGGCCTGGTATAAAGAAAGATGTTAGAACATGGGCTCAGCAATGCTTAGCTTGCCAACGTTCTAAGGTAACACGTCACACGCAGAGCAAGCTTGGTACATTTGTTCCACCAAATTCCAGGTTCGAGCACGTGCACATCGACATCGTAGGTCCCTTGCCACCATCAGAAGGTTTTCGCTACTGTCTAACTTGTGTCGACCGTTTTTCCAAGTGGCCAGAGGCTTACCCGCTCGTTTATATAACAGCCAAATCGGTTGCTGAGACTTTCTATGCTGGATGGATTTCTAGATTTGGAATACCTCTACGAATCACAACAGACCAGGGAACACAGTTCGAAGCCTCACTGTTTGATGCCCTGACTAAGTTCCTGGGTTCGGCCCGTCATCGAACAAGCCCTTATCATCCCGCAGGAAATGGTCAAGTGGAGAGATTTCATAGACAGATGAAGGGAGCGATTAGAGCCTACAGTACAAGTCAGTGGACCAGAGTTTTACCTACCATTCTTTTAGGTTTTAGAGCTGCATGGAAGGAGGACTTGCAGGCAACGACAGCGGAAATGGTTTATGGAACTCCGATACGACTGCCTGGAGAATTTTTATGTCCGTCTACTGGTACAGCGGATCCCGCAAACTTTGTTGGAAAACTAAAAGAGACCATGCAGGAGTTGCTGCCAGTAAAGTCCAGACATCAGGGCCATAGAGCAGTTTTTGTAAGTAAAGACCTTTCGTCGTGCAGTCATGTTTTCCTGAGGACCGATGTCATAAAGAAAGGCCTGCAGCCACCATACGAGGGTCCATTTCAAGTGCTGAGTCGAGGGGAGAAGGTTTTTAGGATTCTTATTCATGGCCGGGAAAGTACGGTAAACGTGGATCGTCTAAAACCTGCATATGTATCCCGAGATGAACAGGACATGTTTCCTAAAAGCGAATCAACAGCTATGAGTGAATCTACAGAGGAATCTACTATCCCAGAGCCTAGTGACATGCCAAGAGAGGTTAAGACACGACCAGGCCGTCGAGTTAAGTTTCAGGGAAAGTATCAGCAATGAGCTGGAAAAGTCTCGCTAGCGCTGGTAGGGGGCTACTGTAGAGGCTGTTGGTTGCGTCAGCTCAGATTGCATGAAAAACTGAGGTAGAAGGATCGAGGAT